GAAGCAGAGTTCTGGCAACTGGTCCTAAAAGGGGCAACAGGAGCGGCGTGGCCTATGAGTGGGTCCTGTGTTTCAGGTCACCCCGGGAGAAAGCCGTGGCACTCTTTTTGAAACAGGGCTTACTGGGTATTTAGATGTCATTGTAGCTCTTAGGAAGAGCAGCCAGGCACTCACAGGCTGGACTCTCCATGCAAAGGACCTGCCAGCCCTTTTAAATTATATTGCTAAATGCCAGTCATCTCCTTATATTTCAGACAGATCATTTGCACCTAATGTCGAACCGCTGCATTATGATCACGTTGCATCAGCTTCCAGTTATGGCCTGCATTGTGAAGGAATAGATGCCAAGCTGCTCAGAACCCCCCCCCCCCCCCACCCCCCGCCAAGAGTTTTCCCAGGGACTCCTACCAATATGACGATCAGTTAATAGCGTTTGCTGCAGCCTGAGTGTTATGTGCTATTCTGGAATCCCTATACCTTGCATCTGGTTCCTTCAGAAATGCTTTTCCTTTTTCCTCTCTCTTTATATTTCACATCCATAAAGCTTCCTTGCCCTCTCCTTGTCCTTCGCACATCCTGGCCTGGCACAGTTCCGTTTCGTCTTTGGTTGTGTCCTGAGTTCTGTCTTAATGAGACAGGAGAAAGTGTTCCAGTAAAACCACCAGAGGTGGCAAGAAAACTGCAGAATTTCAGTGGAACTCTCCCATGGTGGAGGGATTCCTCCTCAGCTTCGCCTTTGGACCATGGATGCAACCTGTCCCTGGCGTAATCCCCTACCTCCGTCCCTGATGCCTGCTTCCCACCTCCGCTGCGGCCTCTTAAGTTTCCCAGTGAGCCTGACGTGCCGTCACATAGAGTTCATACACACCCGATATATACCGAATTTGGCCTCTTCCCTGCCTCACTGAACAGGGGTAACATTTGAGAACAGAGGTGACATCTGCTTTTCCTCTCTCACCCAGTGCACACAGGACAGTGCCCAGCTCCCCACATGGGGAACGAAGGTGGATTCTGGGGAAGAGCTTTTATAACTTCATAATGGTTAATTAAGTCTCTTTCATCTGAATAGGGTATTTGTGGGTAGCCATAACAAGACTCGTAGTAGGGAGTATTAAAAAAACAAAATGTTTTTACCCTGGGACCCAGAGTACTAGACTGAACATAAGGATTGCCCACAAGGAAGGAGATGGCTCCGGCTTCATGGCCAAGCCTGAGTTTGCAGAGAGCACGTTCTGCCTGCCCCTCTGGGCTCCCATCTGCCGCTGCGCTCCCTCCCAAGGTTGGCTGAGACCCTCAGTGGGGAGCGGGGAGAACGGCCGTAGCCTCGGCCCCACTTTGCACAGAGAATTTCTTGGCATCTCAGGGAAGAATAGCTTACGTGGTTTTTGCAGCATCATGTCAACTCTTAAAGTCTTTAGTCACTCATGAAAAAACCCTGTGATTTTGGAACCAGTTTTTCCATCCCATCGGTTGCAGAGCTGTGACTCTTATGGGGTGATCTTTTGGCTTTGAAGCTGCCGTCCTAATGTAGCAGCTGGTACCATTTTGTAATGGGAGGAGCATGAGAGAAAGTGTGTCTTTGTGCTTCCTCTGGCCGGAAGGGATTTGTACTCATCCCCCCCAATAGCCATGGCTTCCTGATTTTGTGGTTAAAGGAGATAAAGCCGGTCGTTTTGGTTCTCGGAATCTTAGGGAGCTTTATAAACCACACAATGTCCCTTAGTAGTCAGAGCGACAGCTCAGGCCAGGCTCAAAGGAGTCTTTTTTTTCTTTTTCTTTCTTCCAAATGGTAGTATATTTTATGACCCACAGTCTAACCTTTCATATGTGGACATTAGTAATAAGGATGATGATGGCGATGGTAACAGGGAAGACGGAGTACTGACTGCTCTAAGCACTTGCCATGAAGCCACTGATTTAGTCCCACAGTTTAGCGGTCACTCAGAGGAGTGCCTTTTGACAGAAGTGCCCGTTGCCTTTGCTCCTTCTCCATGCTGCGTCCTCTCTCACAGCCCCTTCCCAGTTCAGTCTCCGCGCCTCCCATCGCCATTGGCACCCACACCCCACGGTAGCAAACTGCCGGGATCAGGAGACAAGAAGTGGAATCCCGCCAAGGCCACACTGGTCCCCTGCCGTCTTGCGGACTCTCAGCATCTCGCAGCGCTGGGAAGGCACCAGGTAGACTCGGATACCCTGACCTTGTGGCACCTTGGGTTTGACTTGGTTCGTTCTGTGCTTCCCAACATCCAGAGCCAAGAGAAGAAAGCCCAGCTCTGAGAGGGCAGCTCAGGGGTCACATGCCCAGGGGCCTGCGGGGGCTGGGCAGGTAGCCTCGGGGAGTGACGTGGGGTCAGGGGTAAGACAGACGCCCCTTCAGTGTGCGCACTGAAGTCGTAAGGGAAGCTCACGCTTCCAACCAAGAGATACGCCCTTGCCCATTTTTCTCAGAACGCCTCACCTAGCTTTCCTATTCCCAGTTCCGCCAGACACAGGAACACAGAGAGGATTCTGCCCTGGAAGAGAAACAGCAGGAGAGCGATGGTAGCCGGTGGCAGCTGATGCTGACTTCAGCAGGAAGGAGGCAGAGAGGGAGGGTGGGGACTGGGGCCACCGGAAAAGCACAGGGCCTGTCTACAGGGGCAGCTGCTACTTGGCCCCAGCGTTACTGGCTCTTAGAGGTTTTCAAGAGAAGCTGGGAAATGACATTTCATGTGGAGCTCTTCCAATTTTTACAAAGGTAGCTTAAATTTAAAAATAAAAACATACAAAGAAGCCACTGTCTGGCCAGACACAACGTGTGGCTACAGGTCTGTGACCTCCAAGTTCAGGAATATTCATGATCACAAGATGGTCCTGTCCTTGGGTAAAGCAATATGGGATGTTACCTGCAGACGCACAGGAGTATAGCCTGTAGGCCAAATTGCCTTAAAACATCCTCAAGGGGCCCAGTGTGGTTCCATTCAGTTCTCTTTAATCTTTCAGGTCTCCCTAGCACATTCAGTAGGAGCTCAACAAGACGAGGTTGTTGGTTTCTGCTTAGATACAACTTTGGTTTCTGGTACTTTGGGTTTAGTCTGATTCCCACTGGTCCTTATAGTTCCAGTGCTCATGCTGTCCAAACAACTTCAATTCTGGATTCCTGGGACAGAGATATCGATTGGTTCCAATTGGGTCAGACTGGTGTACCCTGGTTCGGTCAGTGTCTCAGGGCAGTGGGGGTCTTGGACTAGAAGGCTTCCCCTTATGGCCTCAGGGTGGGTGAGTGTCTGGTGGCAGGTACAGCAGATAAGGATGTGTGGAGTGGGCAGCCCCGGTGAGCATATCTCCTTCGGATATCCCTCTGGTAGAGACAAACAATAGCTTGTTTTCCACTTCTGCATTTTCGTCATTTCTCACAGAGTCCTCCAGATAGCTCCATTACCTGTCTCTAGCAAAGAAAACTCAAGTTTGTTTTCTCTAAAGCACTACTTACCATTTGCTGGGAGCGGAGTTGGATTCAGGCATTCTGGGGCTGGGTTTCTTCTCAGTTAGTCATTTCCAGCAGGTTCTGGCTCACCCCGAAGAAAGTCCCGTTATCTAGATAGATATGCATGTCCTTGGCAGGCTGGGTGCTACTAGAGAAGCCAGAAAGGAAAGGTATCTTGGTGCAAAATAAAATATCAGAAGTATAAAGGTGTTTTGGCATGTTGAGAGGATGTTTTTTTAAAAAGTTACAAGTTAGGCTTTAAGTGGTAAATTTAAAGCATGTTGCAATGACAGCATTTTAGTTCAAGGTTCTGTAAACCACATCCTTCCTGCTAAATTGGCCCACTGCTTGTTTTTATAAAGTTTTATTGGAACACAGCAACACCTGTTTGTTTACTTATGGTCCACAGCTCTTTATTGTCTTACGGTATCAGAATTGATGGGGAACAAAGACTGTATGGCCCGCAGAATCAAAAATATTTACCACTCAACCCTTCATAGAAAAAGTTGGCCAACACATGTTTTAGTCCATTCATCCAAGTATCTCCTTAGACTGAGAATGACAGTTATATGCCATTGTTGGAAAAAGGAAGTTGATATTTCAAAAAACACTCCTAGGGGAATGCTGGGGAATGGAAAATAGGAAGTGTTCTTTGCTCTTTTATCCAACTTGACTGACTCGGTGGATTGCTTGACAAGCCCTTGCTATTTCCAGTTGAGATATGCTGGACCAGAATGCCTGCACTTGGGCTCCTGAATGCATCCTTGGCAGGTGAATCCTTCTTCCCCAAGTAATCTGAGATTTTTAACCCACCCATTTAGTTTATGTCTGTTAAGCAAACCTTTCTCTTACATCTTTTTTTAATTACCTTTCTGTTTATAAAAGTGATATAAGGTGATTGTAAAAAAAAATTAAACCATGCACAACAACACAAAGAAGGGAATTAAAAATTGCCCACAGTTCCATCACTGGAGTCCCCTCTCATTCATGTACTTATAGCTAATTAACACGAGATACTACGTATTAAAAATCTTTTCGCCAAATTGGAAGCATAGACCTACTGTTTTACAACATGTTTTTTAAAAGTTACTATATACCGAACATTCTCATTTCATTAAATACTCTCTTTTACCATAGTTCTTCGTTATTACATAGTATTTTCACGTGTGTATTCCATGATTTACTTAATTTCTCATTGCTGTCTATTTTGGTTTTGAATTTTTTACTATTCAGAAACGGCACTTATGTTTCTCTCTGATTCTTTGGGATAAATTCCTTGGCTTAGAATCGCTGGCTTAGAAAGTATGAAGCATTTCTAAGGCTTTCAGTAGACTGTGCCCTACAGATCTTGCTTTTATATACCCACCAGAAGGGCTCGAAAGCACCCAGATTTTGAAAGTAAATTAAAAAGGTTACTGTATTTTTATTGGAAGGATTTGATAGAATATTGGTTGAGGTGGCCTCAACCTCATCCCCTGCATGCGTGAATGCCAGTGGTGAGTGACTATGATTTTGGCTTCTTGTCCCCTTTTAGGCTCCCCCTCCCAAACCGCCCCGCAGGCATGGAGGCTGGGCAGATGATTCCATGAAGGCTTCAAAGTAAGTGCCAGCCGCTTGTGAGGGTGGAAGTGGGCACTTGGCTCTTGGGTTGTTTTTCTTTAATTTTTTCAGAACAACTTTCTTGAGGTGTAATTCTTATTCCATGTAATTCACCCATTAAAATGTACAATTCAGTCGTTCTTGGTGCCTTAACAGAGTTGTGCTACCAACACCACAGTCAGTTTTAGAACATTTTTATCACCCTCTCCTCAAAGAAACCCGGTACCTGTTAGCAGTTATTTCCCACGTCCCCCCAGTCTTCCTAACCCTGGGCAGCCACCATTCTGCTGTCTCTCTGACTGGCCTGTTTGGACATTTCACATACATGGAATCCTGCTTTATGTGGTCCTTTGTGACTGACTTCTTTCCCTTGGCCTGGTATTTTCAAAGTTCATCCATCTTTGTAGCATTCTGTGTTCTTTTTTTAAGAAATTGAGGCACAAATGACGTATAACATTATATGGGTTTCAGGTGTACAACATAATGATTCAGTATTTGTATATATTGGCAATGACCGCCACAATGTACAGTTAGCATTTGTCACCATACATAGTTATAAACAAATTTTTCCTTGTGCTGAGAACCTTTAAGATCTACTCTCTTAGCAGCTTTCAAATATGCAGTACAGTATTATTAACTGTAGTCACCATGCTGTACATAACATCTCCATGACTTACTCCTTTGATAACTGGAAGTTTGTACATTTTGACCCTCATTCTGTGTTCTTAAAGTAACTTTCTGAACAGAATGGAATTGCCTGTTAGTCATTGTAGGATTACAAACCACTTTGGTCTTTAATCCCTTGCACGAAGTCTTAGATGAATAGTAAACCAGAAAAAAAGATTTACTACACCAGCAGAGGATGGCTGACTATCAAGCTTAACTATTTAAGGTAGACTTGGGAAGGGAATTTCTTTTTCTTTGAAACATAGACATTACTCTTGTCTAGAATTTCCTTCAGTACTTGTTGCCTTAAAAATATATATTTTTTCTAATTCTTTCCTCCCTTCCTTTCCCCCTCTGTCTCACACACATACACTTTATTCCCCCTGAATCATTTGAAAACAAGTTGCAGAAGTCATGATATTTCACCTCTAAATACTTCAGCATGCATTTTTCAAGATTAAGGACATTCTCCAGATGATCACAGTATGATTATCACATCCAAGTAATTTCATAATGATTTAATACTTAATAATAGTTTATATTTAAATGTACTCAATTGTCCCGAAATGTCTTTTATAGCCTCAGGATCCAGTTAGAGTTCACGCATTGTGTCGGGTAGTTCTGCCTCTTTATCTAAAATAATTTTTATTTAAGTTTATCTAGATAAATCTATTTAGATAACGATAAATTTATCTTATCTAAAATACCTCTCTTGATCTAAAATAATTCCAATTCCCCCCCTGTTCTCCCATTCATTGTGTTTTTTTTTGAGGAGTCCAGGCCAGTCGTCTTGTAGAGTGTCTTAAATTCTGGTTTTTCTCTGACCGATTTCTCATGATCAGGTTCAAGTTGTAGGTTTTGGGCAAGAACAGGTGATTTTGTGTACTTCTTATCATATCAAAATAGTATAGAAACACATACTCAGAGATGTCTCACTCCCATCCTTATTCCCTCCACCTCATTTCCATCCATCCCATATGGGTAATCTCTTTATTAGCTTTTGGTCTATCCTACCTATACCTTTTTTTTTTTTTTTTGCAGAATTCAACATAAATATGTACAATTTTAGTTTACTCTTCTTTGTTTCTATATATTAGGATTCAGCAAACTTTGACCCACAAGCTAGCTGCCAGTTTTTATAGATCATGTTTTATTGGAACAGGACCACACCCTTTCATTTGAAAAATTTAGATCTCTGATCCGTTCGGAATTAATTCTATTGTATGATATAAGGTATGGATCAGTTTTATTTGTTTCCAAATGGCTATGGTCCCACCACCATTTATTTAAAAATCCATCTTTCTCTGGTAAATTTAGAAACCACCTGTATCATAATTCTACATCTTCGTATGTACCTGAGTCTACATTTAGACTTGTTATTCTCTTCTAGTGGTTTTTCTGTGTATTCATATGCCGACAATTACCACACTCTTTCCTTTATAGAATATAGCACTACTTTTTAGTGCTAACCAAGAACAAGAAGGTAACTTTGAAACATAGGTCTCATATATCAGTGAGAGTCTTCTAGAGTAGCCCCATTTTTCTAAGGCATTAGGGGATATTCGTGCTTGTAATATCTGGAATTTATTTTGAAATATGGAGATGAGACAAACCCTGTATCTGCTGCTTAGAGAACAAAAGGAAATCTCAAAAATGAATATATTAAATGAATATATCAATGAATATATTAAAGATTTTTCCAGATCAAATCAGTTTGCTCTGGGAAAAAGATGCTTTTCCATTCCGTATGTTACTTTTCAAAGTATTGTCTTGTGTGGCTCCTAAGTCTGTGGCCTAGTCTGACCTCTCTCAATGTTGGGGGACCCAGGGCCCATCCTCGAACCTCCTCTCTTCAGCGTCAACACACACAATTGCAGGATCTTGACCCAGTCTCGGGAGTTTGACTATCACGTTCACAGCGACGACTCCAAAGTATATATCCCTCCAGTCCTTTCCCTGAACATCCAGTCATCCAGTTGATGTTTCCACTTGGATACACAACTCAATCATAGCATATCTGAATCAGTCCTGTTCCTTGTCACCCCTCCTGTCCCATCCCCTAACCTGCACCTCCCAAAGTCCCCCTCAGATCTCCATAAATGGTGACTCTTCTCTTCCCCGTTACTTCAGACCATAAACTTTGGAATCCTCCTGGACACCTCTCTTATCTCCGCCCACGTTCAGTCTATCAGCCAAGCGGGTGAAGTCTACAGATGAAATCCGTCTGTGGTCTGTGCTGCCGGTGCTCGGCTGCAGCCGCTGTCATTTCTAGCATTGACTCGACGGAGAACATACCGACTGGTCTCCCCTGCATCCTTTCTCTCTCCGTCTTATCTCCACAGAGCCAAAGGGACCTTTTTACAATATAAGCGAGATCATTTCCCTTGTCTCCTCAGAGCCCTCCAGTGGCATTCCCCATAGTCCAAGTAAATCCCAAAGTTCTTACCATGGCTGACAAGGCTCTCCCTGCCCTCAGTTTATATAAAGTAGCACCCCTCGTCACTCTGTGCTCCCATCTCTTACTTAGTGTATCAGCACGTGACATATATGCATACGTACATGCATGTGTTTGTGTGTGTGCACGTACATACAGTCTTTTTCTCTCTCCTGTAACGTAAGCTGCTTTTTAAAAAAAATTTTATACTCTTTTTTTTTTAATGTGTCCTTGACACGCATGAATTTTACATTTACAGTGCATCTCAATTCAGATGCTAAATTTGTCTAAGAAACACTTGGTCGGTGTTTCGATTTTATAAAATTTACAGTTGAAAAGTAGATTCTCATATTAACTCCGTTCCAAACATATTTAAAAGTTTTCCAGTAAATCAACTGAGTGTAGTTTAAAAATTTAAACCAATAAATTAAATAAAAATGAGAGGGGCGCCTGGGTGGCTCAGTCGTTAAGCGTCTGCCTTCGGCTCGGGTCAGGATCCCAGGGTCCTGGGATCGAGCCCCGCATCGGGTCGGGAAGTCTGCTTCCCCCTCTCCCACTCCCCCTGCTTGTGTTCCCTCTCTCTCTGTCTCTGTCTCTCTGTCAAATAACTAAATAAAATCTTTTAAAAAATAAATAAATAAAAATGAGAAGTTCCACGTTCCCACTCGGAATGGGATTATGTGGCATTAGCCACGTTTCAAGCGTTCAGTAGCCACGTGCATGCCGCAGTTGTAAATGTCATGTGTATTAATTTGTGCTGTTCAGCAGCCTCGTGAGGGTGGCATATTATTATTATTTTTTTCTTTTTAGTAACATATAATGTATTATTTATTTCAGGGGTACAGGTCTGTGATTCATCAGTCTTACACAATTCACAGCGCTCACCATAGCACATACCCTCCCCAGTGTCCGTCACCCAGCCACCCCAACCCTCCTGCCCCCCTTAACATAAGCTTCTTGAGAGGAGACACACTCTTATTTACATATGCCCAGTACCTCGAATAGTACCAGTCCATAACAAGTGCTCAGGGACTGTTGATTTGAACAAATGAATCATCTCATCGGTGTTTTTGCTATCAGATCAGGTCACTTTGCTATCAGTGTGGGAAGTGGAGATCTGGAAGGTTGGAAGCGCTGTTCGGAAGGTAATACTCTGTTTGAAGGTGGATTTGAAGGTGGATAAGAGCTGGATGAGGGCAGTGGTGTGAGCATGGACAGGAGAGGAGCTCTGGGGATGTTTTGGAGCTAGAGGTCACAGAAGTGCCATTGGTCAGATACAGGGCAAAAGAGGGAGGAGTGGAAGGTCCTGCAAGGTGCCTCGCTTTGATGACTTGGTTGGGGGGCGGTGCCGTCAGGTAGGGAACGCAGAAGGAGAGACCTGATTTGTAGGCTGGTGGTCATCCACACAGATAATTTTCCAGTTTGAGATTCTGGAAGAGAGGTCAAAAGGGAGGTACAACTTGGTACATCTACACAAATAGAAGCCAAGGACGGAGCCTTGGATTTGGCAGTTCGGAGGTTACTAGGGGCCTTTGAGAAAGTTATGGTGATTTGCACTGGGACAGAAGCCAGATTATGGGCTGAAGAGGGACTGAGGTGAGGAAATAGTGATCTAGGCTCCTTTCCTGAGAAAGAAAGGAGAGAATGGGATAGTATTTAGAAGGAGAGGTTTGTGTCGAGAACCATGTGTGTCATACGTGGGGAAAGAGTGACTGCAGGTGAAATAGGAGGGGTTGGAAGGAGCAGGATCCTTGGAAGGATAAAACCTTCCAAGAGAGGTTGATTAACCTTGGACAGAAGGAGGCAGGGATGTTTTTCCTCCGATATAAGAGGGAGCTTGGAAAGGGGGTAAGCTCTCAAGAAAAATTGAGGGAGTAGGGAATTGGGGGAATTGCATTTTGGAT